TCGAGACTCTTGCTGGAGACTTTATCAGTTTTTTATACCATTGGAGTGGAAACCTAAATTAAACATTTGACAAATTTGTATTCCTCCAATTCCCCTTTTGGGAGTTCTAAATAACCCCCACACTACATACAACATTTAAACAATTAAAAGTTCACTCTTGTAACTTTTGCTAGTTACAGGCACATCAACTCATGTTCTGTGTTTGCTTTTTCTGTAATTGCATGCTGACACAAAAACAAACATGCAATTAGGGTCCGTGAAGTTCTTACGGAAGATTAACTTCAGTCATCTGTTATAATTTGCCGAAAGATCAAGACTATATTGTTGGACCATCAAGTTTGTGCACAAGTGAGTCAATGCAGCCATCTTCGGCTGTGGCCTGCAGCGTTTTCCAGCAAAACAAGGATTCTGGAGTCTTCACTTTTTGCGATGTCCTGGTGGTTACTACATCTTAATAATGTTGATGGATGACTGAAGGTTCCGTAAGTCTTTTCTCTGCGTTGTGTATTTTTTTTTCTTTACTTTGGTGATAGTTGGCCCCGGCAGTGGGTGTCGTTGTTTTCTGGAAGAGGTGTCTTCATACGCAAGTGAAGACGTCTGTGCGTATGGGTCTCAGACAGCCATCAAGTGGTATCTGCACAGAGGAAAAAGAAAACAAGAGAGCAGTATTTCTTCAAAGACAAGGGTTGTATCCTGCTGAGTAAACACTGAGTCTGCTAGTGTTCCCTCTTTCCCTATTCCTTAATTCTTGACACCTAAAGAACACAGTGAGGTGAGGATTGACTAAATGGATGGGGGAAACTATGAGGGAGTCTTCACCCAAGGGGTGACCCCCAACGCATATGGCCATTTCGGTTTTTCCCTTGGGTTCCTCACTGGTTCGTGTCCTTTCATGGTCCTTCAGTGGTCAGAACCTTGCAGAACACTTTGCAATGTGACAGAACACTTTTCATTGTGACACATGATACCAAGTTTCTTTTCTTCCTTGACACAATCTGCCGATCAACATCCCTTGATGGGGCACATCCACTTTAGGCTCTAAATGGCTTGACCTGTCCTGTGACATGTGTACTTTGATCTGCGTAACCCAATCATGGGTTATTTTTCCTTCATCCTCTAACAAAACATCAGTCGTTGTAGACATCATACGTGAGAATGGGTGAGGGTAGTTAAACCGATTTCCCCAATGGGAAAAGGTGACAAAATAGAATTTTGCTTCATTCATTAGTGCTAATACTGCCTGTGGGCATTTACAGTCTGACCTAACACTATTATTGATGAAAGGCCTGTGCTGTAGAATAACATTTAAAGCTGTGAGAGTTTTCTTAAAGCAGTCACCCAAAGAAAAAGCTGAGACAGTCACTTACCTTTTGTTCCATTAAACAAACATAAGTCTTTTTATCCTTTTTAAGTTACTGGGGAAATTAAGCACTCAAAGTCAAATGGTTAACACGTCAACAAGCTGCCCAAGTTTACTGGCTTGGAGAATGGCTGCTTCAGAGTAGCAAGAAAGCTGAGAAAAAGTTGGCCAAAAAGGTTGACTTCTCCTAAAGTTCTTCTCTGGCTTTTTCTACACTCTCTGCTCTCCAATGTCCTGGCTGGACCACAGTAATAACACCTGCCCATCCCCCGTTCGTACGCAGTGACGGCTCCCCGCTGGTGGGCCGGGCTTGTCCCCCTTCCGAACTGCTGGTCGAGCCCTCCCGTCCGAATCGCAGTGAGAGCCTGCCTATCTTAATCATCAGCGGACGGCCACGCTTGTGTCGCTGCAAGGGCTCCCTGTTCGTTGGGCCGTGAGGGGTCCATTCCCGTGCCCCAGCCCCCTTCGAAGCGCCGGTCGAGCCCTCCTGACCGAGTACAGCGGGCGCCCCCGTCCAACTGGCGAGGCTTACCCATCCGACGCTGTGTGCACCAAGTTTCCGTCAGATGCCGCGAGAGCCCTCCCGGTTGAACGGCTTAACTCGTTCCAAAATCACGCTCATATAAATTTGGCATCATCGAGCTGTCAGTTCAACTGCTGGCGGGGCTTATCCGTCCGATGCCGTGAGAATCCAAATCCACCCGTCGGACGTCGCGAGAGCCCTCACGGTCGAACGGTCAAGCTCGTTCTTTAGTAAATATCTTCTCATGCCCTTCACTTTTTTGGGGGGAATTATTTCTACGCAAGCCAAGTACGCATTAAATTTATATTTGATTTCATGTACGTGTGAACTTGTGAAATGAAGTTTTATGTAAACAAAGTTCGGGAGGAGCATGTTCAGGTAATCAACCAATCAACTCAAGAGGAAGCCGGTATAAATAAATCTTTTCTCACCTCCTGTCTCACGACAAGTCTCTCAGCAACCCTCCACCACACCATCACCTCACTCTCGGCTGGGTCTACCCCAGTATAGGGGGGAGTACTCTGGGTTCGGGCAAAATTCCGAGCTCGGAGCCCTCACCCGGACAGCAAGCCAAATACGCATTAAATGTATATTTGATTTCATGTACGTGTGAACTCGTGAAATCATAATTCATGATGATGTGCTCATCTTAGTTAATGTTATAATTAAGGTGTTGTTCATCCATGAAGTCATGTATGAAAAACGTTGAACTGTTAAAAAAACGTTGTTAGTTCCTGATGATATTAATGTACGAATGAATGCATAATTCATAATTCATAACCCTTAGAGTGTTGTTTATATTGTTTATATTGTTATAGCAATGTTAAAGCAATGGATTTATAGTATGCACAAGAAAAAAAATTCAGTGTGTATAAAATTTTATTTTGATTAATTGCATTTTGAAAAAAAAATGACTGGATTTATTGCATTTTGGGGATGCAATTATTGCATTTTGGGGATGAATTTTCATCTGCCCATTTTCTTGCTAAAGAAAACACAGTTTTACTCAAATTCATCAAAATAGATTTATAGCATTTTGGAACCAATATATATATATATATATATATGAAGAGTTCAGATGCAAAAGCCTCTAAGTGCCATTTGAAATTTTCTTCTAGAATGATCATTTTTATCAAGCTTGTATATTTAAGTTCAGTGATTTCACTTAAATGGCAATGATAATTACCTATTAATTGTTATTTAAGTGAAATTACTGAACTTAAATATACAAGTTTGATCAAAATCATCATTAAAGAAGAAAATTTCAAATGGCATTTAGAGGCTTTTGCATCTGAACTCTTCATATATATATATACGTATATTTTTTCAGTTATTATACTGTACATTTCATATGGGTAAACTCTGAATAGATGGTATCTCAGAATAAATTGTTCTATTATTTTCTGCAAAATGAGTCCTAGCTAACATCAATTCACATGTGTTTTGCTTAACTGTGTGGTATATGCCAGAGTATATACTGTGAGCTGATGTGTGCTTTACTTTTTCTTGTCGATTGGCCTCAGGGAGTGATTTGTTCCTCAGGGGACGTTCAACAAAAGGGTTTGCACTTAGAAAACTAACACCAAACATATCACTATTCTCACTGCACTATCCTTAGCTTCTGAACAAATAATTCTTAATTAGAACAAGGTTGCTCAGGATATCACATGAGTTTCTTATGGCTGTTATTTTATATTTAGTATATAAGAACAAAGGCCAGGGTGTGGATGGGGAGTTCCTGTCATAGCGGTGATGGAGCTTTCTGGCAAACCGTCCAATCCTCGCGCCAGAGTTTGTCTGTAACCTCTCATGCTCTATAAACCTAAATTGTTCTATCAATCACAAAAGCACAATTATCAGCAAAATCTCAAGCCACTGCTTCTGTTATTATCATTTATGCTGGATTTTTTTCACTGCATAGTGGGGATCACATAATGGCATTTAGATTGATTCAGACAGAATTTACTGGACAACCAAGTGTAGTTTTATTGCAATAGGGACTCTGAAATGACTTTAGAGGGTCAGAACACATCAGTTCTGCAAGCTGTTGTGACGTTAAGCAGGTGAGGGGTCGAGAGAAACATTTAAAGACTAAATGTGATTACTTTGAAAGCTATTGGTTTAGGCCAAGTAAAGTGGTTGAGACAAGTAGAAAAACGCCCTCCATCACACAGCTTAAATTGCAACAGTGAACGGAACCAAACACAAACATCAACAATTATTCAAATGCACACATATCGCAACACAATTAAGCTTTGTATTGAGCCTCCAAACCCTCTTTCATGAACATGCACACCCTTCTGTTAATCTTCTCCAACTATTCCAGACACTGCTTCACTCTGGCCTCTCCTAGGCCCCGCCGGTGAAATCGATGCCAAGCTGGATGGAAATTTGGTTAGAGACACCGGGTGTGGTTGTAATCCCATCATGCTCAGAGTCACAGACACATTTCAGCCAGTGTTAAATATGGCTGTTTGACTGGCTGTCGTGATCGATTTCTTCTTTTGGCAGTGTTATAACTCCATCGCTGGCCTGCAGTGCAGCTTTTATTGCCGTGGCTCCTCTTGGGGCGGTGCTAATGTTGCACTAAAACTTGGAGCGTGTGCGTGCAAATGGCATGAATTAGAGCAACACAAACTGAGCTCCAGTTTGTCTTGCTCTATTTACATACTTCCATGCTATTTTACATACAAAAGTGTTTGTACTAGTATGAATGAAATTACTACATACCATGTTAATCCAGTGACCTACCAAATCCTCTCTTGTGGACTCATGGGATAGTCAAGTGTCTATTCAACGCATTCTCATCCTTTTGCGTCATATAGAATGCTATATGCCAAAACGGCGCTATACTACGCACATGGCACCCATTATCGTTAATATAACACATGCTGTGATGGGTAGGTTTAGGTGTGGGGTAGTCTCATATTACGCTAAAATATTTATGACGACTTGGGTTCGCGTGTTATATTAACAATAAAGGGTGCCATGGGCGTAGTATTGCGCCGTTTTGTCATATAGAGTTCTATGTGATGCTAAAGGATGAGAACGGGCTGGTCTATAGAGGGAATGCATTGACACGTGACTTTCCCGCGTGACAACCCCCCTCAGCCTGACCGAGTGGCAAAAGATCTGCTGCGTGACTGGATTTAATAGGGGAAAACTGCGGAAATGCGACTAAATCGAACAATTTTATCAATTTAAACTAGATTTGGACTCAATATAGTGTTCCTTACAACTTACTAAAGATCCAGTGATCCATGGATATTGACATGCAGCCAGGAATTGTGTTGCCTGACATTTATGTTTTCCTGATTTCGACACCGGGGAAATAAAAGCAAGACCTAAACATAAAGCAAATTTGCCTGTGAACGCTTTATATAATATAGGTAGGTCTAAATCCGGGTGATCACTTATATCAGTGTTATATATAGCCTATATACAGTATATCATCATATCGCCCAGCCCTAAAACTTTATACGTTTTTTTGGTCAGTGTTTATTAAAAAAAAACATCCAATAATGCAGAATATGCAATGATAAATATTTAATTGATGAGCTGTTAATAACAATACAAAATATATGGGTATGGTTTCATGCCTAAATTCAGCATATTGACACAAAATGATAACGGCAAATCCACCTTTCGCTGACTGGAGTCCAGTTGTTTCTGTGAATTGCTACGATCCATTTGCTCCTCTTTCCATAGCAGTCTGTAAAAATATACCTCGGATGTTTTGTCAAATCTAGTTGTAGGCCTACAGTCAATCGCAAAGCTCTTTCCCACTTTATTTGTGTGTGTTGTGTTTGTTTTTCGCGGTATTCACGCTGAACACATATACAGCCGCTCAGTCTTTTTGCCACTCACTGTGAGGAACTGCAGGCACGCCGGCCGACGGTGACGTCACACGCATTCCCTCTATTATGTGCACACTTCAGAATCTCGCCGGAAGTACTGAGTCATCCATGTACTTTTTTGCCAACACTTTTATGAGTAGGCCCTACTATGAAATTAGACATAGGCCTACTACTTTTGTCACATACTGCTTTTCGCCTACTACTGTATATTAGGGATGTACGTGATTTTGTATGCAGGCCTTGTGTTTTCTTTCCTGGGCTGGTTTGTGTTGTATCCCTAATCAAATTCTTCCAGTTTGAATCTTACCCATTTTCCCTGTTGTGTTTATTGATGTTTTTTTTTATTCACCCTACCATGGGACTTTTTTCCCAGCCCAGCTGGCTGGCGAACAAAATTATCACCTTTAGATCAAGCAATAAAAAGGCAAAAAACATTTTAGCTTAATTTTTTTAGAATGTGTACTAATAATTTCACTCACAATAAGACCAGGAACTTGCTTTAAGAAAGTAACTTGCTTTATTTAGGTTCTGTTCCGTTCTATTTATCATCTAAGTATGAAGAAACAAGTTCAAATTTAAACCTCTATTTTTATTGCACAGTTTGCACATTAACAATACTGGGAACATAAGATTTGAAATTGAATGAACTCACTTTAACAAAGGAGTAATTCAGGACAGTATTAAAACAGCAAATAGTGTATGTTGACACAGAGGAGCATAATTTAAACATATTAAAAAGTGGGCAAGACAGTCAGACGCTCTGGGGAAATCTCATGGGGAAATATAATTCCAAATGCAGATCCCATATTAATCCTACTAATCAGAGAGGGAAGTGTTGTGTTTGCCCATAGTTCTCTCAGTATGTTGTCACTCTGGTACATATTGCATTCAGTAGGTTCCACAATTCACAATTCACAATACACAATTCCCTGTGTCCCTCTACCTGCACATTTATACCCTCCATTTACGGCACTGGGACTCTATATCCCCAATTCACATCAAATATCCCTTGTGAGATGAGTGCAGACAAACAAATGAAGAATAAATAAAGCAGTGTTACAAATGTCAGCTTGTGCTTTCAGCAGCGTCACATGGGAGCAAAAAAAGCTCCAAAATAATGAGACATTATGAGCAAGTGCAGTTTATCTCAGTGCGCACAGGAGCGTGAATCAAACCTCTCGGTTTCCTGCGAACTTCTAAAGGTTTATTGGAGAACATGGATCAGATTGTCAAGGTCTCACCCAGAGGACTGGGTCATTTTACCTCTAGGTCACAATTGTGTTTCTGTCAGGTTAAAAATAATACACCTCAATCTGCCGAGTGTAAGACCATAGAGTCTTGGATATGTTAACCTCATTTTATACAAAATACAGTTTACGACATGCTGATATGGTAAAATACACAGTTCTTTAATGGTAAAATACACAGTTTTGCAGATGCATTTGGGTAATTTGGAGAATGCAAATGCAAGTTGTCTATTTTATATATTGTTTTTTTAATATTCAGTGATGGTTAATAAATAATTTAATATTCAGGGTGCAGCTTATTTTTACAGACTGTCTGGAAAGCTTTGTTTATAAAACACAGTAGTTGGCACAGTGAATAGACTTACTGATAAAATAATCACAGTTTGCAAGATTAGTGACCTCATATCTTAAAAAAAGAAAAAAAAAACATATTCAGAGTTTTGTTTGAGACTGCCTCACCATTATACAGATTAGTTTATTCCATTTCAGTGCAGTATAATAGTTTTTAAAAAAAAATTATTTAATATAACTTAATTTAATTTAAATAACTTAATTTAATTTATTTGCAAAAACTACACAATTATTACATTTTGACCAAACTTTAAAAATATAATTTTTTTTATGAATCGTTCCTAAGATCAGGAATGTGTTTTAAATCAATTATGTAAATTATGTCTTTATATATATATATATATATATATATATATATATATATATATATATATATATATATATATATACTGTATATATATATATTGTTATGAACCCAGTATGGGTTATATTTGGGTGTTGTGTGTGTTCTTTCTGTTTGGTTTACAGGAGGGAATTGGAGTGAGTGACGTCATTGACTGAGGAGTTGCACCTGTGTTGGAGCTGATGCCGGCAGTTAAAAGCAGTTCCTTTCAGCTGTGACGGGGCGTGCTCTTCCATCCTCATGCCATTTGCGTTTTGAAGTCTTTATTGTTGTTTTCCGTTTTGTCCTTTTTTTTATTTAATTATTCTTACTTTAATAAATGTTATTCTTTTGAGCAAGTATCCAACGTGTTGTCTCCTTCGTTGTCACGGCTTGCGAGGCGGCCGTGACAAGTGGGGGCTCGTCCGCTCGTTTGTTAGATCTTTTAAAATTCCTGTTATTTGTCGACCTGATTTGAAAGCGTTTTGGTTGCGTTCGGTTATTTTGTAATGAACTTGACACGTTCATTAACTGAACGTAAAATTGGAAGAAATGTTGTTTGAACGCTATTGTTTGGGAGGTCGGATTCGTCGGGTGAAGGAAATGCGCGTTGGATTTGTTTTGACAACGGAGAGTGTAGAGTGCTGTATCTGTTTCATGCTGTTTTGTAGGAGCTTGAGGTAAGTGTTTTTTTTTACAGATCCTGTTGTAGGAGGAATATTTAACAATATTTGTGTTCCCTGGTTAGGTTTAGCTGCTCGTTCCCTTTTGGAACGAGTGGATGTGAGGTAATTTTTTTTTATTTTTGTGTGGCGACCGTGAGTAGAGCAGTTGTCTCGGGTGCATATCCATGGTATGAGTGAGTCGCCAGCGTGCTGGTTGCTTTTCTTTGTACTAGTGGGAGTTGGTGCTTAAAATACCCCTCACCAGTAACCACATGAAGATTTTAGGGTTGAGTTAGTTAAATTTTTAGAGGGAACTATTTTATTCCTCCTGCTCTGGTTTGTAAAAAGACATTTTTTTTTCTAGTTATAATTCTAGGTGGAAAAATGTCTAACGTTAATTTAGTCAAAGAGTTTATTAGTTCTCCTTCTGGAAGTTTGCTTGATTCGTGTACAAAAGATCAGTTATTCGAGATTGCGGATCATTACAAAATTGAACTTGGAGATAAGAGGTTAAAGGATAGTACAATTAGAGAGGTAGTAAAATCAAAACTGATAAAAAAGGCCGTATTGGCTGAGTTGTCCGATACAGCTACCACCTCTCAAGTTAAACCTCATGTCAGCTCTCTAACTTTTGAACAACAGGAACGATTATTGTTGTTGCAGCTTGAACAGGAACGTTTGAAATTGGAAGTAGAGCGTGAGAAAACTAGAAATGAACAGACTAATGTTGAGCTGCAGAGAGGTCGCTTGGGAATGATGAGGCAAAGTGGACTAAATAGTTCAACTGATGATTTGCAGGGTGCTCAAGTGTTTGATACTGCTGGAAATTTAAGGTTGATGCCGAAGTTTAACGAGCGAGACCCAGATATTTTTTTTATATTGTTTGAGCGAATAGCAGAGGCAAAAGGTTGGCCCAGTGAGGAACGTACCATGCTTTTACAATGTGTACTTACAGGCAGGGCTCAAGAAGTTTTTCTGCCCTGTCACTCTCGGACTGCAGCGATTACGATATCGTTAAAGCGGCGGTTTTAAAAGCTTATGAGTTGGTACCAGAAGCTTATCGACAAAAATTTAGAACGTTGTGTAAGGGTGAAAAGGAGGCTCATGTGGTGTTTGCTAGAGAGCTCACTACTGCATTTAATCGATGGTGTATGGCATCTGAGGTAACCACGTTTGAAGAGTTGTCTAACTTAATTGTGCTTGAACAGTTTAAGAACTCTGTACCTGCTCGTATAGCAACATACATAAATGAGCAGAAAGCTGAAACAACTGCTAAAGCTGCTGAGTTGGCTGATGATTATATTTTAACGCACAAGAGTAGTTTTGAGTTTCGGAAAAGAGATGATACTTTTGAAGATAGATTAGATCATATGCCCAGGGATTCATCTCTGATCTGTAATTACTGTCGTGGTAAAGGCCATTGGAAAAATGAGTGCCCTGTGCTTAAAAGTAAGAGTAAAGGAGGAAAGGGTCTTTGTGTTAAACCAGCAGGCTTTGTGGCACCATTGTTGAATTCTGTCAGCCTGTCTTCTGAAGGATCTCCTAGAGCAGTTAACCAGTTAAAGGATGGAGATTATGCACCTTTTATTTCTTATGGGCACGTGTCGCTGGTTGGCAAAGAGACAAATGTTCCAGTAACGATACTGAGGGACACGGGAGCATCAGAGTCTTTTATTTTGCAGGATGTGCTGCCATTTTCCTCTGTGAGTGATACCGAGACTAGTGTCCTTATTAGAGGAATTGGGTTAAATATCCTATCTGTCCCATTACATAAAATTAGGTTGTCATCTGAACTTGTGAATGGAGAAGTGGTGGTTGGAGTGCGTCCATCGTTACCAGTGGAGGGGGTGGATATCATCCTGGGAAATAATTTGGCAGGGGGGAGGGTTTGGCCTGTTACCTTTTCACCTCCTGTGGTTTCATCTTTTCCTCTCCCAGGTCCTGATGAGAGCAACAAGAGTTTTCCACAGGTATTTACTGCTTGTGCTGTAACTCGATCCATGACCTCTGCACAGCCAAGGTTAACATCTGATTTTTTGGATGGACCAGCATTTTCCTTGCCTGATGATTTCTCTGTTTCCTCTTCTGATTTGATACAGGAGCAGAAACTTGATCCTTCTCTCCATACATTGTTTGAGAGTTTGATGTCTCCTGATGAAATTAGGCATGTTGCTCAAGGTTATTTTTTGCAGGATGGAATGTTGGTGAGGAAGTGGATTCCTCATGGAAGTGACTTTGCTGGCGATCCTATCTTGCAGGTGGTAGTTCCAGAGAAATATCGATCATTGGTGTTGGAGAGTTCCCATGATAAATTTGCTGGACATTTTGGGGTAAGAAAGACTTATGACAGAATCCTTCGTCATTTTTTTTGGCCTAAATTGAAGAAGGATGTGTCTCAATATATCAAGACGTGTCATACCTGTCAACTAATAGGCAAGCCCAATCAGAAGATCAAACCTGCTCCATTGTTTCCGATACCTGCTGTTAGTTCACCTTTTGAGCACTTGATTATTGACTGTGTAGGCCCACTGCCTAGATCAAAATCAGGTAGCATTTATTTGCTCACTGTGATGTGTGCATCGACTCGGTACCCTGCGGCCTATCCCCTCCGTACGATCACTGCCAAATCGGTTGTGAAGGCCTTGACTCAATTCATTTCTATCTTTGGCATCCCAAAGATTGTGCAAAGTGATCGAGGTTCTAATTTTACGTCTCATTTGTTTTCGCAGGTTTTGAGACTGTTGCATATTAAGCACAATAAATCTAGTGCTTATCATGCTCAAAGTCAAGGGGCATTGGAACGGTTCCATCAGACGCTGAAGTCCCTGCTGCGTGCTTATTGTACAGAACTGGGGGGTGATTGGGAGCAGGGATTGCCGTGGTTGATGTTGTCAGCACGTGAGGTGAGCCAGGAAAGTACTCGTTTTAGTCCCAATGATTTGGTGTTTGGACACACCGTTCGGGGACCGTTAGCTGTGCTCCGCGATAACTGGACTGAAGGTACACCGCCTCAGAATTTGTTAAGTTACGTAAGTGACTTTAAGCGGAGATTGTATGAAGCGGGTAGGATGGCAAGAGAACAATTGTGTTCCTCGCAGGGACGTATGAAGACACTTTACGATCGGCGAACTGAGAAACGACAATTTATGCCTGGTGATCAAGTGCTGGCCGTACGTAGTGGTGAAACAAATTACGGACTTAAACTATCTTATTGCCACCCCGGAGAGAAGGAAGTCAAAACAATTGTGTCACATTAATTTGCTGAAGCCCTATTATTGTCGTTCTCCTAAAGCATTAGAGACCAGAGCAGATGTGAAACCTGCACTGGTAGTTGAGAGTACTTCACCTGTTCCTTTGGAGGGAGAAGTTGATGATGGGGTTTCTTTTCCTGAGGATACGGTGTTGTTGGGACATCTTAAAAATTCGGAGACTCTGAAAAATTTGCATAAAATGTTGATCCATTTAACAGAGAGTGAATGTACCGACTTGATTGCTCTTATTAATCATCACGACTCTCTATTTGGTGATGTACCTTCATGTACACATTGGGCAGTGCACGATATAGATGTTGGGGATGCTGTGCCCATTCGCCAGCATTTTTATCGTGTGTCCCCAAATAAATTCTTACATCTGGCCGCTGAAGTTCAATATATGCTGGATCATGACATTGCACGGCCATCATTTTCCAGCTGGGCATCCCCCTGCTTGCTTGTAAGTAAATCTGATGGAACTTACCGGTTTTGTACCGATTATAGGAAGGTAAATAAAGTGACGAAACCAGACTCCTTTCCACTTCCTCGTCTTGAGGATTGTGTTGATCGGGTTGGGGCAGCAAAATTTGTGAGTAAGTTCGATCTGCTCAAGGGTTATTGGCAGGTTCCGTTGACCCCAAGGGCTCAGGAGATCTCTTCCTTTATTACATCTGAGGGGCTATTTTCTTATAATGTTATGAGTTTTGGTCTCAGAAATGCGCCTGCAACGTTTCAGCGACTTATGAATAGGGTCGTTTCTGGATTGGAGGGAGTCGCGGTTTACTTAGATGATGTGGTGGTTTTTAGTGATTCATGGGAGCAGCACATGAGTCATATAGCACATCTGTTCTCCCGTTTTGTTGAGGCTGGTTTGACCGTCAATTTAGCCAAATGTGAGTTTGCCAAGGCTACTGTGACTTATTTGGGTAAGGTCGTTGGACAGGGTTGTGTTCGTCCAGTTCGGGCCAAGGTTGAGGCCATTGATCTTTTTCCTTCTCCTTCCACCAAAAAGGAATTGATGCGTTTTTTGGGGTTAGTGGGTTACTACCGGGGATTTTGTAGGAATTTTTCCACGGTGGTAGCCCCACTCACTGATTTGCTGAAGGCCAAAGCTGATTTTATCTGGACTTCGGTCTGTCAGGAAGCTTTTGAGTCAGCTAAATCATTGCTTACCTCTGCTCCCGTGTTAGCGGCTCCTAAATTTGATCGCCCTTTTAAGTTGTGTGTGGATGCTAGCAACGTAGGGGCGGGAGCTGTACTGTTACAAGCTGACGATGAGGGGATTCCCCGTTCTGTGAGTTATTTTTCGAAGAAGTTTTCCTCTTATCAGTTGAATTATTCAGTAATTGAGAAAGAGGCCTTAGCGCTGATTTGGGCCCTGCATCATTTCGAAGTGTATGTGGGATCCGTGTCAGATTCTTTGGTCGTATATACTGACCACAACCCACTTACTTATTTACACTCTTTGCGGTGCCCAAATCAGCGTTTGACTCGTTGGTGCCTCTTCCTGCAGTCCTACGCCCTTGAAATTCGACACATCAAAGGTACTGACAATGTGGTGGCAGACGCATTGTCTAGAGTTCCTCACTCTTTCTAACTGTTTATGAACAAGGCTTTGTCTTGCTTTCCTTTTACTCTCTTAAATTGCTTCTACAAAGGTTCGTGGTTGCTGAGGACAATTGGGGGTAAGATGAAGTTGGTGTTATACAGTAATGTGCGGAGTATCGGGTGAAGGGTTTAGGTTGGGTTTTTTAAAGGTAAACCCTTTTCTAAGGGGGAGGGTGTTATGAACCCAGTATGGGTTATATTTGGGTGTTGTGTGTGTTCTTTCTGTTTGGTTTACAGGAGGGAATTGGAGTGAGTGACGTCATTGACTGAGGAGTTGCACCTGTGTTGGAGCTGATGCCGGCAGTTAAAAGCAGTTCCTTTCAGCTGTGACGGGGCGTGCTCTTCCATCCTCATGCCATTTGCGTTTTGAAGTCTTTATTGTTGTTTTCCGTTTTGTCCTTTTTTTTATTTAATTATTCTTACTTTAATAAATGTTATTCTTTTGAGCAAGTATCCAACGTGTTGTCTCCTTCGTTGTCACGGCTTGCGAGGCGGCCGTGACAATATATATATATATATATATATATATGAAGAGTTCAGATGCAAAAGCCTCTAAGTGCCATTTGGAATTTTCTACTAAAATAATAATTTTTATCAAGCTTGTATATTTAAGTTCAGTAATTTCACTTGAACTTAAATATACAAGCTTGATAAAAATGGTCATTTTAGAAGAAAATTTCAAATGGCATTTAGAGGCTTTTGCATCTGAACTCTTCACACACACACATATATATATATATATATATATATATATATATATATATATATATATGCATACATGGTATACAGTTTTGTTGAAAAATGTAGCAAATATTCTATTATTTTCTGTAGATGAAAATTGTCAAACAACAATTCTTTTTTTTTTCTCATGTTGTTTTTGGATTTGCTAAACAGCAACAGCAAATCTTTTGTAACAGCAAATCTTTTAAATATATAAAAGGTTTTGTTTGAGACCCCCTCACGTAGATTAATTTATAATAGGTCTCTGATAACCCTGTCCCTACCATATGATTTCTTCAGATTATACCACGGTAATAAATTTCAGCATATGAGTCAGACGTCTTTTTCTGTCCTCATGACATCCATCAATGTGAGACCATCCACTGCATGTTCAGCTTCATCCTCTGAATTATATTTGTGAAAAAATCTACACGAATCACTTTTGGATGGACATATTATATGGAATGTTTAACTGCTAATGCTCTATCATTATTTTAATTATTTTTGTTCCTGACCTATTGTGGTATAGTGTATTCAGATAATAATTTCCGATCCCCATGCCCCAAATTGGAACAAAAAAATCCAAACAAACTGCAGTTTGTCGGTCTGTATGTTGTGTTTAAGCGGGCTGTTCTTGGCTAGAATAAGCTGCAGTGTGTAGTCATAAGTCTGTTTTAATGAGTTCAACCCTTCCTTCTCCCTTCCTCTCTGGCAGGCGGTTTTCTCTCTCTGACTCTCTCCATTGTCAGCTCATACTTTTGACATCCATGAGTCATGACTGCATTTGAATTCAGATTGCCATTTTGGATGGTGATTTCCCATTGCATTGCCATATGGTAGCGTCCCTGCTGGACAATGCAACAAGATGTCAAGTGACTTTGGAACATGAACCAGCTGGGCTCGAGTTAACGTCTCTTATATCTAATTGAGAGCCGGCACAAAGCCGTTCCGCCATCTCAAGCCCATTTAGATCATCTATTGTCTTAGAGCTGCCTCTTGCTGCACAATAGAGTGCTTCATTTCTCATCGGCCTTGACAGCGAGAGGGAAGAGGCTGCTATTTTTAAAAGCATGTGGGTGACCGCATTAGCTAATAAACGCTCGCATTACAACAGCCAGCACAGAGAAGAAGAAAGACCAGAGGAGAGAGAGACAGACACGGCATGCTCGGGCATTCAACAATTTGCAGGTGCACAAGCCTGGCTTCTCATTACACAGAAAATCCACTCCCATCAGTTGTAACGCTCCTTCAAAAACCACCTCCTATATTTTATTTAAAGTTCTCTCTATGAATAGTGTTACCGTTGAACACAGGCAAACAGGCATCGGCCATTATCTCACTAATGTACCAGATGATGTAGTCAATTCCGTGCATTTTACCCCTCCTCTCGGGGCTACCACATCCAATGTGATTTGCCGTTCTTGGACATTTAGAAAGACATGTCCGCTCACCGTGAAAAAGGAAAAGATTCACAACAGATGAACTGAATTTTCCCAGCCAGTTCGTTAGAATTGGCGCTACTTAATGGATGGTTATAGATTTGCTGACCCAGCAGCGTTTGTCCCTAATTGGAGTCTTATCTTGACATCTGTAAATATATGACTGACCAGTCAAATGCTTTAGCTATTGTGTTGGTGGCACCTCATTTGTTTTCACCACAAAATTCTTTTCACGGCATACATATGCAGACAAAGTTTTATAAACACTGTGTATATTTGCACTTTCAAGAGCTTTAGGGAAAGCCATGTTTGTACTCTTAATGCTTGCACAATACTGGTATCAAACACATAAATGAGAAAGTGATACATTAATTACAATTTGAATCTGTTAATTCTTTTTGTGTCTTTTTTTGTTTTGTTTGCTTTTAATACAACCCGATTGAGTCAAAATTATTGAAGATGTTGTTTCATGTTGACTTATTTACATGCTAAATTGTTTATTGTTTCCTCTCTTATACAGCCAAAATAATGTATTAATATATCAGCAAAGTTCTGTCACTTTCATCAGCAGTGGAGTTACTTAGAATTCCATTTGCAAATCCACACAATAGTTCCTATCAAGTTTATAACTACTTCAGAGTACTCCAGCATTAATAGCTAATGCCATGATATAGAGAGCCAATTTATAATGGTAATGTGTTTTATCACTAATCGCAATTTGATTAGTGATTGTTACCTCATATTATTTCTCTATGAGTTTCCCCAGCATGTTAAAATAACCGAGGAATACTTCTTCACTTGATCACGACCAAGCCCATTTATCTCCATTAAGGATGACAACCAGGGTGTGTTTGCATGTGACAGGAAACTGATAATTCATTAGATAATTACTATCTAATGCATGCATGTATGACCTAATAGTATGGTGAATCTTATGATTTTTTTGGGTAAATTCCATATAAGAAAAATAAATAATTGTAAACCATGTTAAATTAGTGCTGTCAAGTAATATGAATAATTACATGATGTGCCGATTAATTTATCGGAAATTAATCACATTTGGTTGAGAAATTATCCCCTAAAGAGAAGTTGAAGTCATTATTGAGTTTAAAAAAGCATCAAATAGACATTACAAAGAAAGTAGCTTTAGAAATAAATATTTGATTCAGGTTAAAACTGTCACAGTATGCGTCTGCACCGTCCTGTCTGCGTCTACTACACTACACTTCCCAGAATCCTCTTATCTCCTCATTTGAACTCACTCCCTCATCAGCCACCTGTTCCTCGTCTTGTTCATTTGTTTCACCTGTCTGCACATCGTTATGTTTGATTCTTGCCTGTATTTAGTTCTCCTTCATTCAGTCAGTCTTTGTCGGTCAATGTTGAATGTTACCTGGTGTTACCCTGTCTTCCTGCCTGTACTTTGAATTAAAATATTATCTTCGTGTGAATCTGGACTCCTCCTGTTCCTTCTGCCTGCTCCACACCCATGACAGATTGACCGACCCAAAAGTGGAAGTTGCAGCATGGGGATTCTCCTCACCCCAGCTCAAACTCTATTCAACGTATTCCAAGATGGACACCCAATTGAGGAGTATGTCGCCAGTTTCCTGGAACTCTCTGCTGGGGTTAGCTGGTCAGATGATGTCTTAAAAACTGTCTTTTGGCTGGGTTTGGATAATCATCTGTACCAGCAAGCCCCAGCAGCTGCGTTTCCAGGAACCCTCTCCTGTTACCTGGATCATGTGTTGTGGTTGAGTGGGTAGATAACAGCACCGCTCAACCACACACACCCACCATCTTCACCCCACCAGCCCTCACCGCCTTCCATCCGGAACCCTCCTCATCGCTGGTCCCGTCCAGCCCCACCGAGCCTGAACCCTCCTCATCGCTGGTCCCGTCCAGCCCCGTCAAGCCTGAACCCTCCTCATCGCTGGTCCCGTCCAGCCCCGTCAAGCCTGAACTCTCCTCATCGCTGGTTCTGTCCAGCCCCGCCGAGACCGCTTCACTGCTGGTCTCGTCCAGCCCTGCCCAACCCGAGACCGTCCAGCCAGAGGCCGAGACTGTGATCCCACCCAGCCTCCCTCTCCCACCTCCTCCTATCCATCACGTGTTCACCGTCTCTCCACCACTGCTTGGCAGCCCCACTGCTTCCCCGGAGTGCTTCGAGGAGGTAGAATCGTCGTGGGTCTGCTGGCCACCAACTCCATCTGGGTCAGGGGATCCCCGGTCTCCTCCTCGAACCTCTTCGACCTGGTCTCTGCCGCAGCCCTCTGGTCCATTACCTCCACCATGGCTCTTACCTCCCTCACCTCCGCCATGGCCCTTCAGCCCACCGGCTCCTCCAGGCTTCCTCGTTCCCCCAGTTCCCCCTTGGTCCTTCATCGACCCGCCCTCACCCGGGGACTACCCTCCTCTGGCTTCGCCTCGTCGCTGCGTCCTTCGGGTTCAGTTGGGCTCTTCTCTCCCTCCAGGTCCACCTTGGTCCTCGGTCGCTCTGGCTGCGCCGCGGTCTTCAGGATCCTCGTCTCGGCCTCCGTCTCGCCGGAGCCGTTTGTGTCGCCATGTCCCTCCAGCCTTTCTACATCGCCCAGTCTCTGTGGCTCGATGGCCTCACCCTGGTCTCCTTCGTGTGAATCTGGACTCCTCCTGTTCCTTCTGCCTGCTCCACACCCGTGACAAAAACGGACTTGATTGTTATATTTTTTTTCAAAAGCTGTATCTGAATTTAATTATATATTGCCATGAAATTATTGAGTTTTAAACTGATATTAAATTAATAGTTATATCTTCTTGTTTGAAAAAGAAAAAGGTCATACATGTTTGAAATGACATGAGTGTGAATCATTACGGAATTAACATTTTCGGATGAACTATCCCTTTAATTGATTGTTTTATTAATTTAGAAATATGATAGGCCTACTCTAAATAAGAAAGTAAACTGCCAGTAGGTACCGATAAAGCCTGGTTTTCATTACATAATTGAGCGATATTTTCTAAATATCGATTTAAAAAAAAAAAACATTTGTTTCATTAACTGATGTCAAGCACACTTGGGTAGCTTTTGTGGATGAATCATGTACCCACTGCGGGAAGATGACCATCACAGTGTTGCGGTCGAGACTCGAGTACCTCAGACAAGGTGGAGTCAGTAGAGAGAGGTTGAGGGTGATTCTTTAACTATGTTACTTTTCTTGTCCCTGGATGAAATAATAAAATCTAAAAAACATTTCTTCTTTTTTGTTTTTGTCAGACTTGATTCACCCTAAGGGGAACTCATAAAAAATTTATCATGCTTCAATCATTCTTTTTATTATATAATATGAGGCCTTTTATGCATGATTTTTACTGTTCTCTAAGTCAGACTTTGTACCTTCAACCTCGCTTAATTCTAAATTAAATATTTAAATAATGTAGATTTTAAGTACAAATTATAAAATAATGTCTATCTCAATTATACATATTATATATTGCAATATTTATAAACATTTTCTTATATTTTTCATACAAAGTAAGTAGAACCCTTGTCCTTTGGGTTCACTGTCATTTCCACCACACTACAAAATAGAATCCTGGGATCATTGCTTTAGGTTTTTTTTAATTAGTAACCATAGCAATAGAAACTCCACAGTGAACACATGACTGGGTGAAAGGGTGACAATCATTAGGGGGTAACAAAAAGAAGAAAAATCGAGGTAAATATGACTAAAACTGAGAACTTGTTTATTGGCCGTCATTTCCAAATGGCTTATATTTCACATGGACGTACAATAACTGAATAAAATTTATTTAAAAATGTGTAATTTGTGTATGTTTAATGCTCACTGTAAAACGTCTCGGTTACGTATGTAACCCTCGTTCCCTGAGTAGGGAACGGAGACGTTACGTCAGAAGTGACGGAGATTGGGGGATTTCGCATAGAAAGCCAATCCTCTTCGAGTATTAAAACACGAGCCAATGGCATGCAATGCCTTGGGGCTGCGGAAATTTGCATAGCGTACTCCGCCCTACTCCGTGAGTATAAAAGGAGGAAGTGAACGCAACCGCAGTATGTCTTCGCTGAGGAGCCAAGACTGAACTCGGCTTCTACCCAGCGATACAGCAGAAGTGGCAGGGAGACGTAACGTCTCCGTTCCCTACTCAGGGAACGAGGGTTACATACGTAACCGAGACGTTCCCTTTCGTAGTCACTTCGAGTTACGTCAGAAGTGACGGAGATTGGGGGTCTGTGCCATCACGCCATCTTCAAGCTGTCTTCCAGTGCCCTGCGAAAGACTGAACCCCCGAGTTTTATCTCTTTTTTTTTTTTTTTTTTTTTTTGGGGATCCGACTTTGACACAGGATTACCAAGGTACACTGGGAAACATATCCCGAAGGGGACATGCTACCAGTTGCCTACCGAAGGGAGGACTTAAGAACACATATGGCCACATAGGAACGCATATGGAACACTGGAGTACCAACCGCAGGTGGCTAATATTTTAAACTCCAGGGGTGGCAGATGGCTTGCCAAGGGAAGACACATGCTCAGAGAGGCTTACAGTGGATAATACACATGAGACGGTTACCAAGGGGAACCGTGCGCATGGAGGCACCTAGCTAGCATCCAGAGCAACAGCAGTGGTGCCCGCATCGTCGGTGCTGGAGGACTCAAGACTTCAATGGAAGAACTGAGGAATATCGCACTTATCCAGTCCGGGGAGTGGAGTGGCGAGCAAGCGAAGACACCTGAGCGGGTCCAGTACCGGCCGGAACGAGTACGAGAGAGGACACTGGCTCAATTCGCAGATTATAGAATCTGGCGAAGGTGTTGGGTGTCGCCCAGCCTGCAGCTCTGCAGATGTCTGTTAGCGAGGCGCCGTGCGCTAAAGCCCAAGAGGAGGCTACACTCCGAGTGGAATGGGCCGTCACACCAAGGGGGCACGGAAGGCCTTGCTGCTGGTAAGACAAAGCAATGGCATCCACTATCCAGTGGGACAGCCGTTGCTTTGAGAGAGCCCTTCCCTTCTGGCTCCCTCCATAACAGACAAAGAGCTGGTCTGAGGTCCTGAAACACTGCGTCCTGTCGACATAGGTGCGGAGAGCACGTACCGGACAGAGCAGTGCCAAGGCTGGGTCTGCCTCCTCCGGGGGCAGCGCTTGCAGGTTCACCACCTGGTCCCGGAAGGGAGTGGTGGGAACCTTGGGCACATATCCAGGCCGGGGTCTCAGGATCACGTGAGAGTAAGCCGGCCCGAACTCCAGGCACGCTTCGTCAACGGAGAATGCGTGCAGGTCCCCCACCCTCTTGATAGAGGCCAATGCAACCAGGAGTGCTGTCTTCATGGACAGAAACTTAAACTCTACTGATTGCAAAGGCTCAAAGGGATACCTCTGCAGAGCACTTAAAACTACTGAGAGGTCCCAAGAGGGTACGAGGGGAGGACGAGGCGGATGCAGCCTCCTCGCTCCCCTCAGGAACCTGATGACCAGGTCGTGCTTCCCTAAGGACTTACCTTCCACTGCTTCATGAGAAGCGGCAATGGCCGCGACATAGACTTTAAGGGTGGAGGGCGACAGCCTGCACTCCAACCCCTCTTGCAGGAAGGAAAGCACGACACTGATCGGACATCTCCGGGGGTCTTCTCCGCGAGAAGAGCACCAATTGACGAAGAGGTTCCACTTCAACGCATAAAGGTGTCTCGTGGACGACGCTCTTGCGGAAGTGATGGTTGCCGCCACCGCAGGTGGCAGCGAACTCAAACCTGCCTCGTCCCATCCAGGAGCCACACGTGCAGCCTCCAAAGATCGGGACGAGGGTGCCACAGAGTGCCCCGTCTCTGAGAGAGTAGGTCTTGTCTCAGAGGAATAGGCCAAGGAGGTGCTGTCGCGAGGAGCATGAGATCGGAGAACCACGTCTTGGTGGGCCAATAGGGGGCTACCAGCAAGACCTGCTCCTCGTCCTCCTTGATCTTGCACAACACCCGTGCAAGGAGGCTCACTGGGGGAAACGCATACTTGCGTGGGCCCCGTGGCCAGCTGTGCGCCAGCGCATCCGAACCGAGAGTGCCCCAGGTCAGAGAATAAAACTGGGCGCAGTGGGCTGAGTCCCGGGAGGCGAACAGATCTATCTGTGCCTCCCCAAACTCCTTCCAGATCAGCTGGACCGACTGGGGATGGAGTCGCCACTCGCCGGAGATAGGACGGACCCGAGACAGCTCGTCGGCTGCCCAGTTCCGGTCTCCAGGGATGTGAACTGCACGAAGGGACCTCAGGTGCTTCTGACTCCATATCAAGAGGTGGCGGGCGAGCTGCGACAACTGGCGCGAGCGTAGACCCCCCTGGTGGTTGATGTACGCTACAGCCGTAGTGTTGTCTGAGCGGACAAGCACATGCTGGCCCTTGAGCAACGCTCTGAAGCGGTGCAGGGCGAGCCGTACTGCCAGCAGCTCGAGGCAATTGATGTGCATGAGGCGCTGGGCCCCCGTCCAGGAGCCGGCGGCTGCATGCCCATTGCACATGGCACCCCAACCCGTGGTAGATGCATCCGTGGAGACGATGAGATGCCTGGAAACTCGCTGAATAGGGACGCCCGTCCGTAAAAAGCTGAGGTTCGACCACGGGAAGAAGGTTCGCCGGCATGCCGGAGTCACTGGGACTCGGAGCGAGCCGCGATGCCATGCCCACCTCGGGACTCGATCGCGAAGCCACAGCTGAAGCGGTCTCATATGAAGCAAACCGAGCGGCGTTGCCGCGGCCGCGGATGCCATATGCCCCAGGAGCCTCTGAAAAAGTTTCAGTGGAACCGCACTCTTGCCCTCGAACTGACGAAGACAAGTCAGCAGTGAGTGCGCGCGCTCGTTCGTGAGCTGCGCGGACATGGCGACCGAGTCTATCTCCACGCCGAGAAAAGAGATCCTCTGCACGGGGCAAAGTTTGCTCTTTTCTCGGTTGACCCGAAGGCCCAGACGGGCTAGGTGCCGGAGCACCAAGTCTCTGTGTTCGCAAAGCTGAGCTCGAGAGTGTGCTAGTATCAGCCAGTCGTCGAGATAATTCAGGATGCGAACCCCGTGTTCGCGAAGGGGAACAAGGGCTGCCTCGACGATCTTCGTGAAGACGCGAGGGGACAGAGCTAACCCGAATGGGAGAACGGCGTACTGATATGCCTGGCCCTCGAAGGCAAACCGAAGAAACGGTCTGTGTCGAGGTAAGATGGACACATGGAAGTACGCGTCCTTCAGGTCGATCGCTGCAAACCAATCCAGATACCGAACACATTCGAAAATGCGTTTGGCCGTGAGCATTTTGAACGGTAGTCGATGGAGAGAACGGTTCAAAATGCGCAGGTCCAGGATCGGTCGTAACCCACCGGTCTTCTTGGGGACAATGAAGTAGGGGCTGTAAAACCCGGACCTCACCTCGGCTGGAGGGACCGTCTCGATTGCACCCTTCGCCAGCAGGGTCGCAATCTCCGCTCTCAGGACTGGGGCATTGCCACCGACTATCGTGGAGCGAACTCCCCTGAAGCGGGGAGGAGACCGCGCGAACTGAATCGCGTAGCCGAATCTGATCGTTCTGATGACCCAGCGGGATACCCCGGGAAGCGCTAGCCAGGCTTCCAGGAAGTGAGCCAACGGGGTCATGTGAACCACAGACGTCCCCCCGGAGGGGCAGCGTGGCGGGTCGACTGGCACGCGTGC